TTTTTTTTTTTTTTTTCTGTCCCTTTCTGTCTTCTCCAGGTGTGGTGTCTGTCTTGGTGACTGTCGGGGGTTGATTATTTGTGTTCTCGTGCTGGTTTTTCATCCTAGCTGGTGACAATTGCCTTTGACAATAAGCTACTTCGTGTGTGTCTCAGGTCGTCTAAATTAACGTTTCCATCGTGGGCCTAGATATGTGTCATGGCCGCTTCCCGTGTGTCCTAGCCTTATGTTCATGTTTTCTGGGAGCACTCTCTTTCGCTGTCACATTGCCTTTGTAGGGGTCACTTTCACTGTTTTATACATTTCTTTTCTCTCTTGGTCATAAAGCCATGTTGTTGTGGAAGGCTCACTTCCTGTATCCTCTTTTCACGGCTGCTTCCTGTCTGTCCAACCACTTCCTGTTTGTCCAGGTTATTTTCTTGCTTTTGGCCATGCTTAATTTTTCTTGGCCCCGGCCTTATTCTTGCTTCCAAGTGTTTGTCCCTTTATTCTGTCTCTCTTAATTGTTTGCCGTATCTTCAGCCACTCCTTGTCAGTTGGAGTATTTCCTGTCTGCTCCACTTCGCCTTTTGCCTGCCTTGCGGTTATGGCTGCTTCTCTACCCTGCGGCCTCCTCCCATACCTCCCTTCTCTAATATTGCTACCCCTGACCCTCTGTTGCCATCCCCTGATGCTGCTTTCTGGGTATTTGGGTTTGATCTGGGATTTGGAAGAGTTTGGAAACTGCTCATTGCTATTTGGTCAAGACGAAAATAGAGGGGTTCATTCGGAAGATCTTTGTTGGGAGAATAGGGCGTGGTGGTAAATACCCTCCATGACCCTTGTCCTTATCTTGGTTCTGGTCCTAGAGCTGGAGATAGGTATCTGAGTGGAACATGGAAGGCAGATGGGCTTACGGTATAAAGGAGGGTCAGAAGAGGGGCCTAGCTGGGAGGGGAACTGGAGGGACTTATGGGTATCTGTTCTGGGGCTTGGATAACTGAGCCCAAGAGCCGCCCTTTTTATTTTCCTCTTCTTTTATTTTTTGGAAAGTTTATTCATTTGTTCCATGAGCAGGAGAGAGAGAGAGAGAGAGAGAGAGAGAATGAATCTCCAAATCTCCAAAAGGGTCTTCATGTTACCATCTACCCCCAGCCCTCAGTGAGCCATGGGTCATGAGCATATATGTGCCTGATGTATCTGGGAGGTCTCTGGAAATCCTCCCATGTGAGATTTCCTATCAGAAGGTTGCATTTCACCACTGTACCAACAGCTGTATTTTTTCCCTTTCTTTTGAAATTGTTTTTAAATAATTATTTTATTTAAATTTATTTACTTATTTATTTATTTTAATCTGACCAGAGAGGGACAGAGTGAGAGAGAGGAAAAGCAAGAAAGCAAGCCACCAGGTCTGGGACTTGAACTGGTCAGCCATGTGGAAGTCCAGCGCCCTTAACCACTATGCCACCTGTTGGCCCCCAGCTGCGTTTTTCAAAGGCCAGTTATGAGGCCTGAGTTTTGGTTACCAGTGAGGACTGTTTTCCAAATTTGTTCTGAGTATGGATGTTTAACCTCTGGGGAGTTTCTTTTTTTTTCTTTAGGTTTTTGCCATCAGGTGTGTGTGCTCATCAGAGAGACAGAGAGAGGGAAAGAAGTGAGAAATCATTCCCATGAGGGATGGCCACACCATAATCTCTTCTCCTCCATTCTCCTGGGATTTTGGGCATGCATGCCTGTGTGCTCAGTGTGATACTCAAGCCGCTGGGTCTGGGACTCGAACCGTGATCAGCAATGTGGGAATCCAGCACCTTAGCCACCATACCACCTTCTGGCCACAACTTCTGGGGAATTTTGAAACTTTTGAACCCCATGAAATTCTAAATGGCTGTGCAAAAGGCGTATACTTTTTCTTTTATGGAGAAAGACTCCTAGCTTTCGTCAGATTGTCATGTGGGTCCATGGCCGCCTTCTATTCAGGAGTGAAAATTTACCCACAATATTAGAGACATTCTTATTCAATGGGTTGGGGCAGTGGTGAGGAAGTAGGTGGTTTATGGTTCTAAGGATTCCTAGTGTCAGTAGGAATTTGGGAAACAGGGTAGAATCTTCTAGAAGAGGGTTGGGGAAGTTGGGGTTTGCAATCCCAGGAAGGGTCTGGGGAAAGAGGCTTTCAAGGAGGCTGTGTTTGCTGAGGTGGATCTGAGAACCAGGAGGAGGGTAGCCCTGAGGTCTTCTTGGCAGGCCTGGGAGGTGCTGAGGGTTTGAGGGGTAGGGTCAGGCATTCTCTAAGAGGACCTGAGAATGAAGGTTGGGGTTGGCATGGGGCAGTCCTGGTGTCCCGGCTGCTCATGGGCCCCACTGGGGGTTACATGTGTGTCTCCCTCAGGCTGCCCATGGACCCCGGGGGCTGAAGGGAGAGAAGGGAGAGCCTGCGGTGCTGGAGCCTGTAAGTTACCTGGTCACTGAGCCGAGAGCCATGGGAGGAGAGAAGGAAGTGGGGCTGGGGGTGAGGGTGCTGGCCCTGTAGCCTTTGACTTGTAACCTTTACCTCCTCAGGGTATGCTTGTAGAAGGGCCCCCTGGCCCAGAAGGCCCTGCGGTAAGTGTAGTGTGACCTGTTGGTCTCCATTATTTTCGCAGAGACCCTTCCTAAGCACTCATCTGAGTCTTCCTCAGCCTTCCCCCTATGCCCAGGCCTCCTGAGAACCCCAGAGAGTCCCTCCAATCAAAGCACCCCAGATTCTCGGACCTCTTCTGTAGAGACTGCCTCTCTTCTGTCTGAATGCCCATATCTGAACCCCCCCCCCTTTTGTTTTCAGGGAATGACTGGTCCTCCTGGCATCCAGGGGAACCCAGGCCCAGTTGGAGACCCTGGCGAGAGGGTAAGGGAGTGTGTATGTGTGTATGTGTGTGTCTGTGTGTGTTGTGGGGGTGGGATAGGGAGCTTCAGAGGAGCCACTGCACTCAACAGGAGGGTGCCATGCTCAGGAATCAGGCTGATTAACAGATGGGGGTGGTCATGCTCCTCGGTGCCCAGGGAGGAGGGTCAGCGGGTTGGGGAGTACTCTGGTGTCTCACCCTCGTTTTTCTTTGTGGCGTTGGGGAATTCAGGGAGATCTAGCAAAGTCTGCATTTACTCTGTCGAGCAGGGCTTCAAAATGATGCCAAGACCCTGGCATACCCCTGTCACCCCATCTTTCTTTCTTTTTTTTTTTTCTGAGAGATTTTTGCTATAGGGTATGTGCATTCGCCAGACAGAGAGAGACAGAGAGACAGAAAGCGAGAAATCACCCTCCAGGGGGGATGGCCATGCCACAATCCCTTCTCCTCCATTCTCCTCTCAGGATCTTGGGCACGCACGCACACGCGCCCGGCATGAGTTTAAGCCACTGGGTCCGGGACGCGAACCATGGTCAACTACGTGGGAGTCCAGCGACATAGCCATTACGCTAACTGCTGGTTCCCCATCTTTCTTTATGTCCCCTCCACAGGGTCCCCCTGGCCGAGCTGGCCTCCCTGGATCGGATGGGGCCCCTGGCCCCCCTGGCACATCTCTTATGCTCCCAGTGAGTGGTCTTCTGGGACTTGCAGCGGGCTGATGGTGGGCAGGGACTGGTGTCGTGTTACCAAGAACCAGAGACCAAGAAGGCTGTGGGAGTTTCTAAAACCATTAATCAAAAGGATCGATCTTTGGGGTGGGGGAATAAGGCTTCATTCTACACCATAGAACCAAACGTGAGTCTCCCAGAACCAGACTCGGATAACCTAGCACTGAGCAGAGAATTCTATGTCCCAGAGGGTCTCAAGCCAGAGAGTCTTTGGGAGGAAGAGGCTAGAGGAGGGGGGAAGACGACAGGAGTTGTTTCTGAAACCCTGTAAGCGGTTATCCGGAACCCACCGGTGGTTCTGGAGGAGGACACCAAGGGTGTCCCAGGGCTGGCGGTGGGACAGAGGTGCTGGATGATGCCTCTGGCCGGGAGGGTCCCACGGGTGTCCTGGCAGAGGCCTTAGCCCTCTCGCCCTGCCCCTCAGTTCCGGTTCGGCAGCAG